CAACCCAATTCGTCTTCTGCCAGCTGCTTCTAGCGATGAACTTTCTAGACATAGCTGCATCCTTAGTGAGCTCAGTTGCAGGCATTGGCAAGTCCCTGGAAGCGTTTCCTGCCTAGTCTATCGAGGAAATGCGTATGTCTTACGTGAAAATGAATAAGGCTTCCATGACTGTCCACCAGTTATGTAAAGCCTTTTGCAAGTGCATGGCATCACCAATACCGACCCTCCAGTGGTGTCGGAGGCTTCTTGAAGTCCGGCCAAGGTCCTACATGCCTTTTGCCCCGTACCTCGATCTGCTTTCGCGGAGGCACACGAATCCTCAAGCGGAATAAAGGCTGTTCCCACACCTTGGGCCCTCTTCGAACAGTCCCGGAGACCTTCCAAAACCACAGCCATCCAGGCGGCGTGCTCAGGCTTCCCTGGAGGCGCAGCAGTGCTCTATCAGGTCTGTTTCGTGCCACCTGCATTAAAGGCATCTCACAATGTTCTTGTTGGCTCCGCAGGGGTTAACCTGAGGTTCATCTGCCACAGCTTCGTTGTATCATGCAGGTTGCCTTTGGCCGGGCCCGACGAGCTTCGGGGAGGGTCTCGTACTCCAAGCTGCGGTCCATGTCGGAGCTGTCACGGGCCTCCGGGCTCCCGCTTTCTTCAGCCGACCCCAGTTCAATCTGGAGAGACGAATCAGACCTTAACCTCGCGACCTCCCATATCACTCACCTTACAACAGACGCGTGCGCGAGGCCGTCCCATGCCTCGGCGACGAGACCGTCCGAGAAAGATGGCAGGACTAAGAAGAAACCATGAGCAAAGATTGAGGGCGGAGGGACCGTTAATCGCCGATCAGACACTCGAACACTTCGGTGTTTAGTTTTGGCATTTCTGTTTTTTTCGTGCTTTGGAACTGCTCGGCTATAAGTTTTAAGGGAACAGCAGCATCATCATGTCGAGCAATGCCCAAAAAATTGCCACCACCACTGGCTGGCAGGAGCACATCGAGGCGAGATGCTGTCCGTGGGAGTTGGAAAGCTGTGCTTCTGCAGTGCGAAAGCTGTGCTTCTGAAGAGCAACAGGCACAAGAGCAGGATCAGACTTCTCAAAGGGCCAAACAACACTTCTTCTGTCGGAAATCCCCACCTGCGGATTACTCACCCCGCACCTGGCCAAATGCGACAGCGGCTTGGCCAAGCCAGCGTTCGCAGCATGCAGAGAGAAACCTTGCAGCACAGGGACGGCACCACCGATTGTCTGGAAATGGACTGGAATTAGTCCAGGGCTGTTGCATCAAAACTGGTTGAAGTGACTTAGGGCCACGAGTTGGTGATGGCAGAACTAAGGGCTGTGAGGTGCATGGGAAAAGGCAACGCCCGAGGTTGGATGCAGTGGGCCAGGTTGGCTCCTAATGCCGTCAGCCTGTGCCAGAACTGTCGTCTTCGAATCAGGCACGAGAGACCAACAGCAAACGAGGTAACGAGAAGCGCTTCTGAGGCCAATCGCTCCATCGCTGCAGCCCTTATTGCAATCTACGCTTTGTACACCTCTTTGCTGCCGACTCGAGTCAGGATTGTTGTTGCAAACCGCGGTCACTGCCATGAAGCTATCACCGAAGTCACCACCATCAGACATGTTCGGCGTTCTATTCATTTGACTCTTTCAGGTTTGCATTGGTCGAACATGGCATGGCACCCGTTGGCACGATCATTATAACAACTGTCATCACCACCACAGTCAACATCAGCTACTGTACACCATCGCAACATGAACAGAAGCGTTGACATCACCATTGGACCATCGGCATCCTCATCACCATTGTAATCATCATTGTCCACCGGTATCGTCAGCATCCGTTTTTCCTTTACCACCAGCATCTGCAGCAGCACCATTTTCTGCAGAATGCCGGTTACAGTTGTCGCAACTTCTACCGGTAGGTGATTAGACACCAAGCTCCCCTTGAGACATCAGACGTTCCTGCTCCAACCCAGAGTTGTTTAGCAAACCATGGCTTGCCAGCGTGGGCCAGCGGGTGCTGCAGGCCTCCCCGGACCCAGAGGGAGAAGCGAAACGCATTCACTGGCTTACCAGCCGCCTGCACATGCCGGGAAGCCCAGTGCTTGCAATGAGCAGCAAAAGGCTCCGTGCTGATGCGCAGCATCTCACTTTCATCGTCCTTATTGATTAGCAGCAACAGCATGTTTCACTCCTGCTATGTCGCTCTTTAGTTTGGTAGTTGCCATATGTCCTTGTATGTAAACAGGCAGGAAAATGCCAAGATGTATAGAAGTCTCCGAGTTTCAGATTCAGCGGTCTCGATAGGCGCCTGAAGCATCCACCGTCCCAAATCGATGTGCTGCTGCTGAAGCATTCTCGCTCAATACATGTGTAACATGTGTATGGTGATGAAGTGTCAGTGCACAGCCATGTACTCTTGCATCAATACTTGTTGATGCGTAACTACCTAGATGCAGTTTCTGAATGAGCATGCCTATACGTGTGCATGTGCATGCATGTGCCTATGCCTGCATGCTCGCTCTTGTCTCTTAGCAATGTTTAGTCTCTACAAGTACAGGTGCAGAAAGGGGGAGGGAGGGGGAGAGAGAGAGCGAGAGACAGAGAGCTAGGGGGATTTCCCTCTAACCAATAGCCCTGGCGAAAGAAAGACAGAGAGGGACATGTCCACCCACATAGAAAATTCAAAAAAGAATGCACATATGTAAGTCAGCATGCATGCACGCATGCAGGTAAGTATGTATATATGTATGTGTATACATATATATATATATGTATGTATACCCGGTTGACACCCAAGTTAGCATGCCCTGACGCGGCGACAGGCTAATACCATGATGCATATCAGGCAGCTCTGGTGATGACTGCCAAAACCGGGCTGCCCGGCTTTCCGGAAGTGGCGACAGCATGCCAACATGGACAGCCGTCTTATACAACCCCTTGTCCCTCAAATGCATGCATCGTTGCAGCAGATACTGCAAGAGTTTAAGTAGTACTCATTCATTGGTTTGCAGGGCACTCAGCGCCGCACTGTTCATTCAGTGGTCCAGTATCATTGCGGCAGCCATGTGGTTTTTGAGTGGGGATGTGCCGCTGGTAATAAAGCAGCGGGGGTTCTTCTTGCCATTCGGTCACAACCTTTCCAGTCCCGCAACGTCGTTCGTGTTCACGCACCGCCTGTTCAGTTTCAAGGAAGGGTCGGTGCAGTTCGCTTGCGCAGAGGCGACTCTTACAACGAACGCTTGTGGGCATGGGTGCAGCATTTGCTGGACTTACTGCCAAGTCGATGTGTGCCAGTCTTGTTGCTGGAAGCGAATGGTAGGACAGGTTCTGTCTGGCAGTGAGGCCGTAGGCTTGGTCCAGCCGCAAAGACAGAATTTCAATGGCTCGCTCAAGCATGAGATTCTGCTACGTCATCATTTGTTTGCTGGTAACACTTTCCTTCCTGTTGGAGACACGTACTATGGATGTTTCGCACGCAGCGATCGCATTGATTATGCGTGCTTGCCACAAACGATGCGACCCAGGATTCGACGGTGCTGTGTCCTCCATGCGGCTGGAGATAGATTGCAAATCTCATTCCCAGCCCGGGCAAACGCCATCATATGCCAACACTGGTGCGCTTGGAACATGACATACACGTCCCAAATGGGAGCAAATGCGTCTGGTGCAAGGTGTTTTGCAGGGTCACAGCAGAGAGTCATCTTTGGCAGCTGTTGAGGCACAGTGTGTGCAAAGTGCGGAATGAGAAGCTCTGGAGTCTGGTCCGCCCGGGCCCGTTTGGGACAAGCTCAATCGCGTTGTCCTTGAATCCGGTCAGCTTTTCTACAGCAGAGTTGCGGCAAGGCGACACCAACCCCACGACAATGCGCAAGCTGCAGAGGAGCTTTTCCAAGCTAGGGCGAGGCTGGCAGCAATGCCAAGACGAGTCACATCAACGCGGCAGTACACATACCAAGGCCTCAGTGACATGTTTGTCCGTTGGAGAGCTGTAGCTCAACAAAGGCGGCGGCAGAGAGAGTTGGACGTGTTGGCTAAGCGAGATCGGACGAATCGTGAGACTCATTTGAGTATGCTTGGAAACGTCGGGATATGGCTCAAATGTGGGCCACGGCCAAGCAGCTTTCCAGAAAGGCTGTTGTTGGCCCAAGAAGCGATGATACAAAAAACCTGTGGACCGCTCACAGTGGTAGGTTTTTTTCTAGCAGAGCGGTACAGAAGGGTCCGTCAACTGGGAACAGATTTTTCTGCAGTGCGGCAGCGTGTGAGGAGGTGTGCTCCGACACATCCAGCTGCTGATTTGCTTGGTTTGCGTCGAGAAGTGCATCGCTTGCGGCTCCGAAAAACAGTGCCAGACCGGTCTTGTCCGGCCGAGCTGTGGAGACAGTTGCTGCGCCCGAGATACTTGCGAACCAAGTTGCCGTGCGGAGTGAGTTTTGAACCAGAGCCGCTGGGACAGTCTTTCATGCAACGCATGGTGGGGCTTTTGCGGTCCATGCGGAGATATGGACGCTCACCGGACATTTGGCACAGAAGTTCCCCAGCTCAAATTGATAAGAGCAACAACTAAAGTGGCCTGCCGGGTTTCGACTTATCAACATGCTGCATGGATGTTGTGGGACGGGCCTTCTACAACCACCTCTGGAAGACCTGCAGACATGCTTCTCGAAGAGAATGCTGCTGGATACACCAGACACAGGAGCTGCGTAGAACCTATCCTACAGCAACGCTGCCTGGCTTGGCGTTTGCGAAAAGCCCCACAACACATCTTTTTACGATGCGGTAATCAGATGTGCAGTGGAAATGGTAGTGCCGTGGTGTTTGAGCCAGAAGTTCCAAGTGATATCATTTGCCCGTATTGTTCGGTTTCCTTTGCATCATTATCACAGTTGCATCATTATCACAGTTGTGGGACCATGTGGTCCAACATGTGGCTGGGCCCAGGCGCCAAGAGCAATCGTAGAGAGCAATGTAGCTTAAAACCCGGCTGCGTCACAATGGACGCCTGGGAGCTAGGCCCTCCTGTGAAACCGTCGGCTAAGCGTGTTGCTCTGGGGACCGAGAGGGACATGGCAAAGGCTGTGCATCCCATTGCCAGGTTGTGCGTCAAGAACTTCGAAGTAAGAGAACTCCAGGCTGCCTGCTTTGTGACGTTCATCCTCCCCAAATCCTGCCCCTACGTCCAAGCCGTGTTCAATGCCACGAAGCATCATGCGGAGAAGGCCAAGAGCGCGCAGTCGGGCAAGTGTGAACGCCCGCAAGGAGAGCCCCACGTACATGCTTGGGCAGGGTTGTTGAGGGTGGCATTGAAAGATGAGGCCCTCAACTCTTATGACCGGCAGGCCATCGAGCAGCATCGTGCAGTGTCGACGGACCCGCTTGTCATGTCCGGTATCGTATATGTGTGCAAAGTCCGCAAAGCTTTTGACCGAGACAGCATGAAGATGTTTTTCTCGGTGCATCGTGATGCAAAGCCCTCGCTGGCGGCCTTGACAAAGGGAGTGATCCATGCCGGTGGCAAACTCAAGCGAGGGCAGGCCCCACGAAGCGGGCTGGAGAGGGAGGTTCAAGAAGCGGTAGACCACTTGACTGAGATCTTGGGGAGCAATTGAACCGCTGTACATGCAGTTCCCCTTTGTGTGCCGCTGACGGCAAGTTTGAGTGATGGCTCGCTTGACTGTAGCTGGCTGGTCTGGCGGGTTGTCACGTTCAACAATCCCCATGTCGCATCCTGCGGTGGGGCCACGGGTAGTCTTAGAGACAGATGTGGCACAACTGTTGTGCTGCTTGCTCGGCTCGGTCGCGAACTCGTCCGATGGCCGTGAGCGAGAGAGAGAGACAGGAGAGAAGTATATGTATGTATGCATGTTCGTAGTATGTATGTAGTCTGGATGCATGGGATGTAGCATGTAAGTTTTATATACACACATGCATGTTTGGTGATGTCTGGCAATTTTCATTCAACGTCCTTGTACAGGAACCTAAGACAAGGAATCATCTTGACAGGGTTTGAGTCGAGAATGCGAGGTGGGTTGTTGTGAAACTGACTCGCACGCTGTCCAAGGCAAGGCTTCAACTGGGTCGAAGATGTTTTGCCCTTTGACGAGGCCGACCTATTGCACTTGTGAGTCTATCGGCTGGGATGTACCGCATGCCTCGTATCCATCACTCCATGGCGAACTTTGGCACTTTTCCAATAGTCCGGCAGATCGTAGGTGTGTTTTCCTGCAAATGCAGACACCAGCGCGTAGCCTATTCGGCACACGTACGTCGATGTCGCCTCACAGAGCATCGTTGACTACGGATATCTTCATTCGCAGCCAGACTTCCACTTTGGGTCGTGAGCTTGTTGGTTGTTTGCGCACGTGCGAGAATGTGTCGTCTCTGAATATGTTTCTAGTATTGTTTTGTGTCGGCCTGTGTATGAATTAGTTTACCGTTTGCCAGACTGTCCTTGTGTTTTGCTCGAGTGAAGGCATGCACCTTTCTTTGTGTTCGCATGGACACCATGAGGATGTGAGCACTTCCCCTGTCGTGGCTGCCACTTTGGCCGCTCCGGAAAATGGGTTTTCCTGGCACGTAGTCGTAGCGAATCCAACGGTCAAGTCATGTCAAGTCTTTGAGCTACATTGGCTGGGATATGCTGGGATGATTTATTCAAGCCTGCTGTAGGGCAGTTCGCACGATATTCGTAGTTTTCGCTTTAATTCCGACCATCTCAATGCAAAGGTGCAGTCGCTTGCGCCTGCCGAAGGAGCCGACCACCTGGAATTCCTGGCGGGCTTGCAAAGCAGCAGCTTGCAACACTGCCTACAGATCAGCCTAGAATTTTGACTAAGTTTTTATGCAAGTCCAAAACACGTAGGTCGGATTTATGCAATGCTCGGTTTACACTTTACACTTAGGGGAGAGTCACCCTTTGAAGATTCGGAATGGCAAGGTACCTGAAGAATTGAAACACAACAATAGATAGCAGAGTATGGTCAGAGCGAGGGGGAGAGGGAGAGAGAGAGAGAGAGAACTTTCACTCATTTTCACCCCCCCCCCCTAAGAACCCGTAAATAGACCGCCCCTAATGCCTGGTAGAAGTTAGGCAAGGTTGCAGCCGAGCATTGCCATTGTGTGACGTTCACCGGGCGGAGAGCCTGTATGCTTGAGAAGCCACAGCCAGGAAGCCGACCTCCTCGAAATAGCGAAAAGGGAGGCTTCGTGCTGAAGCTTCCACCATCAACGGTTTACGGATCATGATGCTTGTGGCGAGCAGCTTCTTATCATTATCGGTGACCATGGTGACGGGCGAAGTTCGGAATGTGATTCCGTGGTGAGTTGGGCACTGAAGGGTTTGGGGCGATTTCACACACGTTGGTCAGCGCTTCGCCTTGCTTGTGCATGGATGTTGAACTACATGTGCCGCACTCGAATGATTCAGGTCGCCGACATCAGCACGACAGAGCGGGTGTCTCAGAGTGGAGGGGATAGTCTCGAAGACCGGGTGGATGACGCACTGCGGGAGGCACGAGTCCAGAGCTCACCGGTGGTCGTGTTGCGGATGAATGTTAGAGTGCTATTAATACCCCCCCCCCCCCCCCTGAAGTTGTTT